CTTCTAGAACTTTATTTTCTAATTCTTTCAGATGCAACCGGGTCTTTAATTGAGCCACCTGGAAGCTCAGGCTGGATGTGTTGGCTTCTAGCATTCTCTGCAGCAGATGGGGCGGGGGGGAGGGAGAAAGAAAGAAAACATCCAATCCTTTCAGAGAATACCCTCATTACAAGCAAACTTCAAAGATGATCCACTGATCTATTGAGGAGGAGGTTTTCTGCATCGGTGCTGAGTGCAACTGTGTCTCACAGAGATTTTGTCCCAATTCCATGCCTGTTAAGTGGCCCTTATGCCCAGATCAGGGCTGGCTTTCGCAGGACAAAAATTCTTCACAAGGTTCTTGTGGGGAAAATAGGAGGCAGGAGTATTAGCTATGTTTGCCATCTTGAGTTATATATATAAAAAGATGGGATGATGATGATGATAATATTGCTGCTGCTGCTGCAATTTTGAGGTGTGTCCTTAAAATGCTTAAAACAAGAGATTTGTTATGTGCTTGTTACAAGAATCTGCTCAACATGCCTCTTCCCAATATGTTCTCTTCTTCCTTTCCAACAAAGACTCAATAATCCATGGTCCCCTGCCCATAGAAACAGACCTCTCTTGGCTGCTGAGAGTTCTCCTTTAACACAGTAACACCAGAGATTTTTCTCCCCACTTCCTTCAAACTTTTTTTTGGGGGGAGGATAGGCAACCTCACTGACACCTCTGCTCCTTTTTTCTCAATTGTCCATTTGGCAAGGTAGCCTTTACCTGAGACTACTGAAATGAGACTGCAACCAACTGCTGTCACAGAGTTTTTCTGTTTTGCTTCAGAGCCATAATCCCTGTCCAAATTCCCACAGTTTTTCTGAAGGAAGCAGGTTTGGATTACTTTTTTTAGAGATTTGATAGAGGTAATGCATATGAAATTTCAGTTTTAAAGGACTTTACAGGACTATAACATTATAGGAAGAAAAGTTTTGGACTTGGCTCTTTTTATATTTGCTTTGTTTGTGCCTCAGAAAACGTCTTCAAAATAATTGGAGTTTGGGATTTCGAAGTCCAAAATTACTTGGATTTGCAAGCAATGGGGTTTGGGATTTCGAAGTCCAAAATCAGCTGAGATTTGCAAGCTGCACAGTGATTGGTGAGCTCGTGATAAATACCTTCTTGTGATTAGAAGGAAAACCTGTCATTCATTCCTCCCCCCTCGCCCAACCCTGGAGTTTTACGAGAAATAGAAACTAAATGAAGCAATTATGGAGACGCTGTTCTGCCTCCCTGCGGCGTGTGGTACATGATGCCATAAAGTCTGTCCGAAGCGAACTGATCCACTTCAATTTGAGAGTCAAGATTCAGCATCTCCATTTTTCAAGCTGGAAATACGAAACGCCTTATATAGTGCCACAGTTTCCACGATTTCCAAATTCTTTAAAGGATTTGGAAACAATACACCTCCAGTGGCAAACTAATGATTATTCGAGGCTGGATGGCATTTCGTTAGAGATGCATTTCAATGCTTTCGACTTCTGTTTTAAAAGCAAATAGCAAGGAAACCCGCATTCCAACTTTCCCATGAAAATCCTTACCATCCAGCAAGCAAAACGTTAGATTTCTTTGCACACTTTTGTGGAACTAAGTCCCCCAGTGACCTTACTAGGGCTTACTTCTGAGTAAGCCTGCACAGAAAAATGCCATTTTTAAAACTTCTCGGAAACGTTCTGACCCTGAGCATGCGGGGGACAGCTATGTTCAGACATGCAATTAATTAGCTGGGCGCATCATAACACGCCTCAGCCTGGCACTTTTGGAAAAGGAAACGGACAGAGAAGTCAGGCCAAAGGCACGCAGAATAAACCCAGCGGAAGCAGGACTGCCATTCGCTTTACCAATTGCACGCTCCCTTTGGGCTGCAGAAGCCCGGGGACCGCTCCCTTCTCCAACTCCCACCCCGCCGGTCATAATCCGACCTACCGTGTGATTTCGACAAGATTCCCAGCGCTTCGCGGCCAGCTGGAGGCTTTGGTTCACTCTCTCCAGAGAAGCCAACCCGCCGCAACCCCGCCACTCATCCCCTTCTCGCTCCCCGTCCGCGCGAATTACGAAGTGGGCGAGCCCGGCCGCTAAGATGAGGATGACAGCAAATTCGGCCGTGGAAAGCGTAGCCCAAGCCTTCCAGTTATCCCATCGGAATCCGGGCTGGCCTTCTTCCGCCGTGGCCATGGCTGACCCAGGAACGGCGGACGCCCAATCCCCTTCTCCAGCCGCGGGGCTGGAACGGGCTCTTCAGTCAGCGAAGGAAAAATGCAAAGTAGGGAGCATCAGCTTTGGGGACAGTCCTTGACGCTACGGATCAGAGGGCATCGCGAGGCTATCTCGCCTTTTCTTCCTGA